TGTTGGACACCGTTCTTTCCCTTGAGCTTGTGGGAATTGGAGTTCTTCTGATGTACCATATTGGCCACAGAAGTTCCTTCGACCCCTTTTCCGTGCGAGTCCTTTGCCCTTGAATTCTGCTCAACACTCAGATGGCCAATGACATCCTCCACAGAGAATTCACGCCTCTGATGTTTCAGAGTGGTGGCAAAGTTCCTCCAGGAATTGGGGAGCTTAGCGATTATGCAACCCGCGACAAACTTGCCCGGTAACTCGCACTTAAGAAGCTCAAGCTCCTTAACAATGCATATTATCTCATGAGCCTGCTCCAATACAGGACGGTTTTCAACCATCTTGTAATCGTGGAACTGCTCTATAATATACATCTCGCTCCCTGCATCGGCAACCCCGAACTTAGATTCGAGCGCCTCCCACAAGTCCTTGGCAGACCGCATATGCAAATATGCGTCAACCAGCTTATCTCCAATCACGCTCAGAACCGCCCCGAGGAACACGACAGTGGCCTCCTTGAACGCCTTCTCCTGTTCAGGAGCGATCGTTCCTGTGGGAGTCACATCGGCGACCCAGAACACGTTCATGGTCGTGAGCCATAAGGTGGTTTTAGTCTGCCAACGGTTAAAGTACGTCCCCGTAAACGGGGACGGTTTTAGTGCAGCAGCAAAACCAGAATTCGAAAAACTCCTACACACATTAGGTTTTTGGATTGATAAGAAAATAGGCAGCTTTTCGATTAAATTAATCCATGAATAAAACATGAGCATGACATGAACAGCATTGATAACACACTGATTACGATCTAACAGAGCATGTACTACGCACATAGTAGAAACATCTACGCATATCGCTAGTAGTGCTACAACAGAAAGAAACACGAGAGGGATCAGCGATGTATACCCTCCAATCGGCCACTCGGCAGCGGTAACGGTGGCAGCAGCCGCGGCATCCTCGGCGGCCTTCTTGTCAGCCTCGGCCTTCTCAGCAGCGGCACGGTCGGCGTCGGTCGACATGGTGATGACGAAGGTGATGCGGACGTAGATGAACAGAAGCGAGCAGTCGCGTAGTCGCTACCCAAAAACCTAATCGCCCCTCTCCCGTACAGGATCAGGAGAGGCGGGGTTTCGGAGGCCTGCTCTCCCATCAACCATGTACGCGGTGAACGGGATGGAGTCGCCAGCGGCAGCAGCAGCAGAGGAACGACGTGGGCGTGGAGGCGGAGATGCGTTCTATTTCGCGGTGGCTAGGGTTGGCAGCGCCCCACATATATATGTGCGGCCGCGCGTGGAGAGACATGGGCTGAACCCACGTCCAAGTCGGTAGCCCATGATCCGACGTCTCAGATCATGGCCCTACCTGTCAAAGACTCTCCGTTCCTGACCGGCAAAAAGAAGCGCAATCCTCCTAAGGCTCGGCTCGGCTCAATCCCGAGCGGAGGAGGAGGAGTGCGCGAGGGCTTCTTTTCTTTTCAAGCTCCAATAGCATGAGGGAGAGAATCCCTTATAAACCACTCCAACTCTCTTTCCACTAGCATGGTGGGACTAAACTTCCCACCACCTTGTCATGTCACCTACATGGGCCTTTAGAGATTAAATCTGAAATTGTCATATGGGCTCTAGGCCCATCTCATATTTCAACAGTTTCATCTGGCCGAAGCAGTCACTTGAGCAGTTGGAGCAGATCATGAGAGGATTTCTTTGGCAAGGAAAAAAACCGCGCTAAGGGGGGTCACTGTCTCGTTGCCTGGGACATGGTTTCGATGCCAAAGGAATACGGAGGACTTGGAGTACGCGACCTCAGGGCCCATAACTTGGCGCTGGTCTGCAACCTCATGGCCAAGGTGCTCCAACATAACAACAATCCGTGCTATAGTTGGTTTGCCACAAGATACTGTCAAAAGGAGATCTCACCCACACCGCGGAATGGAGATACAGCCATCTGGAAAGGCCTCAAATCAGGAATGCAACTAATCTTCGAAGCCACAAGGTGCACACTAGGGAATGGACGAACTATCTCTTTTTGGTTTGACTTGTGGCTGCAATGCGGCCGCCTAGCGTTCGTCTTTCCAACGCTGTTCACCTTCTCAAGAGCCAGTTATTGTACAGTCGCATCTCAGTGCAACGAGGGAAACTGGGTGCTACAACTACACCCAAATCTATTTGTAGCAGCATCCCAGGAGCTCCAAGCCCTTCAGGATATATTGCAAACTGTTCAGCTGCAAGCAGACGAGTTGGATCGTCGTGTGCCTCTCACAGAAGACAGGGCAGTTTCAACAGCCTACTTCTACAAGCTTATAAGCTTTAGAGGCGAAGCTTGCCCCCTGGCACCGTACATCTGGGACAGGATCATACCACACAGACACCGGGTGTTTCTTTGGCTAGCGTTTCGAGATAGACAGAACACGAGGGACAATATGACTTGAAAAAAATGGGACAAGGTTGTAGCACACAATGGGTGTGATTTATGCCCAGCCACAGAAACAATGAGCCATGTCATACTAAGATGCAGACTGGCAGATGCAGTTTGGGACAAGCTGGGACTAAAGGAGGTTGCCGTTTCCTCGGATGGACTCCTACACTTCTTCAGGTCGGAGCAACCAGGTACCATCCATGGCAAGCTGTGGCATATCCTCTTCGCCGCATGCGCAACCAGCCTATGGAACGCCAGAAATGCACAAGTCTTCAGGAATGAACTCTGGCGGCCGCGGCAGGTCTTCCATGAGGTGGCTGAACTGCTCACGCTGTGGACCGCGCGCGCAGGCGAGGACGACACTAGGGCCATTATGCGGGCATGGGCCAATCTTTTTACCTCAGACTAGACACATGACGGCTATCTTCTCCTCTCCTTTCCTTTCCTAGTCCTCTTTTCATGTAAGGACTGGTGATGGCCTGCTGCATCCTCCGTGCAGCGTTAACATCACCTTCATGTAAATGACCTCGGTCATCCGGGCGTTGCCCGTTTAAATGCATAAGGTAGAGTGTACCCTACCTTTTTATTCAAAAAAAAAAAAAAACTTTGGCCCTTCAACCTTTTGCTCATCCTCTGGAACATCTGGGATGCCAGAAGTGCTATGGCCTTCCGATCAATAGACACCCACTCTGCTACTTCTGTAAGGCTTATGATTGCGGGCCTCGATATCTGGTCACATAGGCTTTGTAAGACTATCGAGTATCGACAAGGATGCCGCCTCCTTGTGGAGGGGCATTCCTCTTCTCGCGCGCAAGCATGCTACTATTGTAATCGGCCTCGGCCGCATTACACCTTGAGAAATATGATTTACTCCTTTCATTACAAAATACTCACGTTTTAGACATGGGCACTGTCTCAAGGCACAACGTTTACCGATACATTCATATGAACATGTTAGTGATTTTTTTTAAAAGATTATGTAATTGTGGAGTATACTTCTTGAAATGTATTACTACTTTGTAAGGTCTTTGTGAATAATTAATAAAATGGCTGCATGCAACTCCCAGATGCAGAGGCCGCGGGTCATCCTCCTTTTCTAAAAAAAAACTTTTTGAAAGATGTAATTATTTTTTTATATTCGACCAAAATCAATTCTTGTTATATGTATCAATAGTCAAGCTAGATAAGTTTGACTTTTGCTCTCTAGGGTGTTGTCTATTTTGGATGGAGGTAGCATCTGAAAACATGCTTAACCTAAAAGTCCGTTCAACTGTGGTGTGCTCTGCTGTTGCCATCAACTTGCTAGGTGGCAGTGTGACACCCTTGACTTCTCTAAGATCTTTGAGTTCATGAATATAATTAATACTATGACATGTGAGCCTGCTAAAATTCATCCAAAAATATGACCAACTGTACCTTGCACACAAAAAAATCAAGAGCCAAGTGTTCAGTTTAAGTGTTCAACTCTTGATTTTTGGTAAGCTGCAAATGTTCTAATTTGTGGATAAATTGCAGCTTCACATGGTATGCTATTCATCATTACATCCACAATTCTTTTATAAGTTCTGAAAACTCCGGGGTGCTTCGAACAACATGTTGTGCACGCGCAGCCATGCTCATGTAATCTGTTCTAGACTTCTAACTAATAAACACTAGCAAGTTGTCCTTGAAGGCGGTACTTCTACTAGAAGTAGATTGTTGTATCTGTCACTCATTAGCTTGTAGTCAAACAAGTAGAATGGTGCTATAAATGCTGGCCAAGGACAACGCCGGTGCCTGATCGTTTCACTTATTTTTTAACTCGTCTGTGCCCATTCTTCTTTTAATCATTTGGAAGTTTATGCAAATAGAAGTACGAGTTGTTGGCTCCACTCATGAAATTTCCTTGGGATCAGCTCTCTTCTTTTATTTCCTATGGAAGTACATGTTGCTGAAACTTTCCTAGGGAATTATTATGCCACTATTTCAAACGCCCCTAAAATGATCCAACATTTTCACCGAAATTAAGTTGATTCAACGACTGATGTGGTCAACAAAATTTCTAAGAAGACGTGTTACAGAAAAGTAGTACTAGTCATATCCAGAGATTTCAAAGCATTTAAGGAACCTACTTTTGGCTGGTCAATGAAGAAAATTGGCTGGTTTCTGGTAGGGCCATTGATTTGAAATGTATCTTTTTTATATGTAAATATACTGTAGTTTGCAATCGATAGTTAAGCGAAAATCAAGGAGTCTTTGGAGAACCTGCATGGTTCTCATTTTTTTGGCCGTGTGTCATTGTTACTTGATCTGCTATGCCAGACTGTATGCCACTCATCTCTAAGTTCCCAAGTGGCTCTTGTTCACTTCCATTTGCTCCTCACATTCGTTGCTATCTCCCAATCACTTTTTCTCGCTCCATCCCTCCAAAATTTTCTGTTCTTGCTTGCCTCACCTTCATCCTCTTGCAGCTCGCCTATACAAGCTTGCCCACCGCAAGCATAGCAGCGACACCACGGCGCCCGTGCCAGCATATGTGGAGAGACTAGCAGGGCCTAAAGGGCGACTTGGTTCTGCCATATAGAACCAACCTGTTGAGTTCAATTATTGGTGTAGCCATGTATCCTCCAAAGATCTTGATCCTCCTTTTTGTTCTACCTTTAACTTTTTCTTCTTCCAGACTTGCCATGAGCAAATCCTTTGCTTTGAATGTTGAGCTTGGCACCATATGGCGAAATAATCCCTCGCTCCTCCACAACATTTCTCCAGATGATAACTTCTCTATGCGCATCATCCTCCCTATGGATGCGTTCACGACTTTTATTAGTAGCTCGCATGATGCTAGCATTCCTTCATTTGCCTGCGGCTTCTTCTGTGCAGGGGCTGTGGCTACCTGTGATGACTACATCTTTTCCATCTTCTTTGTCAGTGTATATAGCTTCAAAGATGTAGTTTATTTACATTCGCCAGAGGTGGTCTGGTCTGCCAACCGTGATCACCCAGTCAAAGAGAATGCTAGTGTTCAACTTACTGAACTTGGGGATTTGGTGCTCTGTGACGCTGATGGAACACTGGTTTGGTCTACCAATACAACGGAGAAGTCTGTTGCTGGCATGAATCTTACCAGCACAGGCAATCTGGTGCTGTTAAATCATGCGAATATGGAGCTCTGGAGGTCTTTTGATCACCCGACTGACACACTTGTCACTGGGCAGGTTCTACAAGTGGGGCAGAAGCTCATGGCAAGCACCTCGATGACCAACTGGGCCAGTGGAAAAATTTATCTCACTGTCCTTCCTGATGGCATGCATGCATTTGCAGGAACTGATACTCCTCTATCATACTATCGGAGCCCGACTGGTGGAACTGTCATGACAAACAGGTCAGCATACGTTGCACTCAAGAATGGCAGCCTGGAGGTGTTCACTTCTTTCCGGGATACAGAGGCACCGGATTACCAGATCAAGCTGCCCAAGGATAACTATGGGCTGGTGTTTGTGAGGCTAGAGTTCGATGGGCACCTGAGGTTATATCAGATGCCAAACAACAGTTGGTTGACTTCAGATCTTTTTGATATAACTGATCCTTGTGCTTATCCTCTAGCTTGTGGCGAATATGGTATTTGTTCAAATGGACAGTGCAGCTGTCCTGATGCTGCCATTGGCCAATCCGGATTATTTGAACTAATTGATCCAAGGGAGCCTAATCGTGGCTGCTCACCAATAGATTCAGTATCATGTGATTCGTCACAGAAGCCTAGGCTTCTTTCCCTTCCCAACATCAATCACTTCAACGGCGTCTACAATTGGACAACAAGCGAAGAGCGGTGCAAATTATCATGCTTGAATAACTGTTTGTGTAAGGCTTCATTTTTCAAGCATTCCGATGCCTCTACTGGTTATTGTTTTCTGGCATCTGACATCTTCTCCATGATAAGTGTAAAAGCTGGAAGTTACCCGAGCAATTTTAGTTCTCTGGCATTTGTTAAAGTTAACAGAGCTACCCGCAACTTCATGCTAACTCAAGGAAAATTAGCCGTTGTATTAGCCATTGGCTCTTCAACTTTTATTGCTATGGTTGTTGTTGCAGTGCTTGTAGTTTTACGAAGAAACATGGCAGAACCATTAGAAGATGATGACATTATCGATCAGTTACCAGGGCTACCTGCAAGATTTTCTTTTATGGAGTTGAAGTCAGCAACTGAAGATTTCTCAAAAGTGATTGGGAAAGGAGGATCTGGTTCTGTTTTTGAAGGACAGATTTGTGATAAGCAGGTTGCTGTGAAAAGATTGGATGGCATTAATCAAGGGAAAAGGGAATTTTTAGCAGAGGTTCAGACTATTGGAAGCATCAACCACATATATTTGGTGAGGCTAATTGGATTTTGTGCTGAAAAGTCGCATAGGCTTCTTGTCTATGAATACATGCCAAATGGATCTTTGGATAGGTGGATTTTCCAAAGGCACCAAGAAGCACCACTTGATTGGAAAACCAGATTGAGGATCATCACTGATGTAGCAAGGGGATTAGCTTATCTTCACAGTGACTGCCGGGAAACAATCGTTCATCTAGACATCAAGCCACAAAATATCCTTTTGGATGAGCAATTCACTGCCAAGGTATCTGACTTCGGTCTTGCCAAGCTAATTGATCGCGAGCAGGGCAGTGTCATGACTAGATTGAGAGGCACACCAGGTTACTTGGCTCCTGAGTGGTTGACATCTGTGATCAACGAAAAGGTTGATGTGTATAGCTTTGGCATTGTTATCATGGAAATTATTTGCGGTAGAAGTAATTTGGATTATTCACAGCCTGAAGAAAGCCGTCATCTCATCAGCATGCTGCAGGACAAGGCCAAAACTGACAAGCTGTTGGACCTTATCAATCCGCGCTTCACTGATATGCAATGTCATTTGGATGAAGTGTCGCGCATGATGAATCTGGCAATGTGGTGCCTGCAGGTTGACAGCCGTCGGCGGCCTTCCATGACCGAAGCCGTCAAATTCCTGGATGGTGCAATGGATGTCGAAACCGAACTTGATTTGGACCTGGTAAATCTGGAACTAATGGTGGCAAATAGAGCGGTCCGTGGGAACTTTGCCGCAACTCTGCAGATAGACTCCGTCCTTTCAGGACCAAGGTGAGCGCGAGCTCAAGGCTTGGAACATGAATTCACATTTGTCCTGTGCAATATCATCATCTAGATCCTAAAGTTGTGATATAGACGTCTCCTTGTATCAGTAGTTACATACTGTAATGGCAAAAAATTGTACTTCCCAGGTTACATTATTATTTTTCTTTCTGAAAACTGCAATTACCTGAAGTTTGATCCATTATGCATCTGTGGTGAGCTTCTAATCATCTCAATGGGCCTGTAAGGCACCAAAATTCCTTCCCTCGAAATAGGCAACTTTTTGTGTTACAAGTTGCTCTTGAAGGGCACTAGCAGGAATTTTACTACAGAATTATTTTTGTCGCCTGATGATGCCCTTCCAGTCTCGTGTTCTACCAGTGAACTTGCTCCAGATTAACACATCATTGACACCAACCAAAGAAACAAGCAGTGGTGCAGGTTACATAAATCCGGTGGTGGTGTGTTGCATTTCGGGATGGAATCATTGTTTCGGTTCTTGGCTGGAACAATCTTAGACAGCTTCAAGTTTTTTTAGGGTGAATCCAGGTTTTATTGATCAAAAACCACAGTTTGTGAGATACCGACACCTTCAAGTGCCTCTCCTCTTGGTTTCCGGGCTAAAAAGAGGGGGGAAACACTGTTTTTTCCCAAAAATTTTTGATCAAAGAAGGGCTTTTCCCTTCCGATTTTTATTACTGAAAACCAGGCTTACAGAGTTCAAAGGACAGGACAGGACAGGTAGCACAAAAACAGGTTCACAGCATTACACAAGACGATTGAAACCGGCCAAAAGAACCAACACAGGCCAGCATGAACAAAGTCCAAACAACACATCTGTCTGAGTCAATGACCTGAAAACTAGTAACTAGCAGGCAACAAAAGGACTTGGAACCGCAGCAGAAGATGAAGGAGTTGCAGCCATCATCCAGGGCCTCGCCATGTTGATTCGCCACCCCTGCCCAGCTGTGTACGCCTCATTTGCTGCTCGTTCTAGTACTCTTGCCCCCAGTTCCAGCATTTTTCTTGGTGGCTCCTTTGTCTGCAAAATGGACCAGTCAATCAACCACCGATCCCTCAGAGGCTGACGACAGTGATCTGGCTCTAGCACGAGGGGAGAAACAACCATGAAGCTCAACTCCCCTCTGGATCTCGAAGCTGTCACCAGGCACAACCAAAGGGCGCGACACATGAGCACTCTGCAACACAGGCAACGCCAGGGAGAGCTCACGTAGTGCAGCCTCAGCACGCTCCATGAAGCTCTCCATCCGCAACATCCAACCTTGCATGATGTGGTTGTGACTCCGGTACTGCAGATCATACCCGAGCTTCGGGAACTGTGTGGGGGCCCGGTTTTGCCTTTATCTGTCGAACACCTGAAGGTAGACCTGCCCAAGATCTCAATTGTTGCTTTACCGCCAGCATCATCCCTGGAGTCTAGCAAGATAATGGATGCCGAGGAGTGTGTTGATTTCGATGTTGCAATCTCTCGCTCGCCTACGTCCGTTGGGTGTCAGGAGTCGACTAGCTTACCTCTGGGCATCAAGGAGCACAGAGTTTTAGATGTTGATGCCCTTCCCTCGCCTGTGACCATCGATCAAGTGATGCCTGGGAGTGGCATGGCCATTGAGCCAAGTGTGTTGGCACCTACTCCAAATTCAAATGCTCTCTTCGCGAAAGAACTTTGTGACTTGCTTACCAGTGTGGAGGTTGCTAGACCTGGTTCGGGCAGGTCAATTGCTTGCCTCCTGACAGGAACGCCAATAAAGGCAAACAAAAGAAGGTAGGCAAAGGCAAGAGTGGCGCCATAGGCAAGGCGTCTCTTGCTGCTTGATAGATGACCTTCGGTCTCTCGGCCCATCCTCTTGGATTGGTTTGCCGTTGTGGGTTGGGAGGTGCGTGATGTCTTGTGTCGAGGTGTTCTTGTCGGGGGTCACTTGGCGTAGGAGCAATATTGGGGTTTGTGGATTTTGTGTTTTCGAAGAGTCTGGCGGTTGCCGCCCGTGCGGTTGTGGGTTTCTTGCCATGTGATGCTCAGTTTGTATTGGTTTTCGCCCGGTTTTTCATTAATTAATTGGGCAATTCTCTTTTTTTTAATTAATCGATGAGGCAAAACTTTTGCCTCCGTTTCAAAAAAAAAATCAACCACCGAACTATTAGTTTGATTATCTGAAAAGGATCATTAATCCTTTTTTTCTCAAAAATGTTTTTTCCCAATAAAACCTGATTTCGCGGGATTAACGAGGTGGCCTGCCAGCCCGCCAAGGCCATCTTTCAAAGTGCTTCCAGCCCATAGTGGTGCGTGCTAACGGCAAAAGACATGGTGTAGAGGATCTTTCTCTGTGCACTAAATTCGACGGTTCTGCATGAAATTCCGTTCAAAGCAGATGCTGTAAAAGGGCAAACCCGTCGTAACAGCCACATGTAAATAAACCTTTGCTCCTCTATTCTCGCGCGCTGCGCGGTCCAACCACACAGAAACAGGCGTGGAAAGACGTAGCCCAACATGCGGGCAGTAACACGGTCGCCGGCGGCGGTACGTAAAACAGCAGTCGCGACTCGCGATGCGAACAAGACAGGCGGTAAACGCAGACATGGGCGCGCGGCCCCCAAAAGGATCCTTCCCAAATCCCGAGGCCACAGTGCGCAGCAGCAGCAGCAGCGGCAGCCTCGCTCCGTCACTCACCCTCACGACGGACGGCATGCGCGCCTGCGGCCTGCCCGCCTACGACGTACTCCCTCCGTTCCGATTGACTAAATCGGAACGGAGGGAGTACTAGCACAGTGCGTGAACGAGCGGCAGCAGGACACAGGGATCACCTCGCCTCACGCGATCGATCGCTCACTGGGTGATGGCTGATGATGATGATGAGTCGATCTTGCGCCAAAGTCCGTGCCCGGCTGCTTTACTTTCTCGGTCCCGTCGCTCGCCCCGCCAGGCCGCTGCCGCGCCTCCCCCTCCTCTTTGATGCCGCTGCGTGGCGTGGACGGACGTGGCGAGGCGGCACGCGGGGAGAAGAAGTGAGGAAGGCGCAGGCGCGACGCGACGCGAATCGAATCCGAGGTGCGAGGTCTCAAAGCTGTTGTTCCCGTGGGGAGAAAGGCACCCGGCCGAAAGGCACCAGACGCCTCGTGTCGTGCTTGGCCAAGCCGGTCACTCAGCCGGCGCGTCCTCGATCGTACTGCATGTTAGTACTAGTGCGTGGGCCGCACCGCCTGCGCGCGCCCGGCCGCGTCTGTCTGTACGAGAACGATGCGGCGTGCGGTCGGTTACAACGATCGCGTACTACTGTATAGTCGTACGTGCCATCCAGCTGCCGTGCGCTCGCCTTTCCTTTCCTTCCGCCCGTGATCACCCACGGTCCAAGATCAATCAGCACCGAGTCGTACACACGGCCGATGCCATCCTTAATTTTCCAGAAAGAATAATCGAGCCCTCTGCATTAGCCAGAACTCACAGTCCAGACCATCCCATCTCCTTTCGGTCCTGTCCTACGCGTCCGATTGCGTAATCACGTACTGCAATTAATGCGCGGATCCCTGAACTAACTCTAAACCATGCAATGCAATGCTGTCTGCGGGGACCGTACGCACCCGCCATCGTTCGTTCTCCATCGAGAAACTCCACGAGAGATGGACCAGAGCCACCACCAGCACAGCATTGCCCTGACCATGTATGGCCTCGCCACGAACGCCCACATGGGCGTGCCGCCTTTCGACAGACCCGGACGCGGACAGGTCGGTGGCACTCCACTCATGGAGCCTTCCTCTTCGCTACCGGCCATACGCATGGAGCATCGTCGTAGTCGGACGAGAGGGAGCAATTCCCCTTTAAAGTAAGCAATTCCAGGCAAGGGCTTAACAAGCAGGCTTAATAACAGCTAAGCCTCCATTCTTAAGGCAAACAACACCCAATTTGATTAAGCCAGCCGGTCTCCCCAAACACTCTAGGGACAAATATACATTGGGGCAGCATGGCGATGCGCGCGGCGAGCTGGTACGTAGTACTGCCTGCCCCTGGCCATGCATGCACGTCCGCTCACTGGCATGTAGTAGTATCACCGCTACTAGTTTTGTATGGTTTCCAACTTTGGCCAATAGCCCAATACATTACCTTGGGTGGATGATTAATTGCGGAAAGCTCTTCGCATTTGACCGGCATCATGTCGACCGTCTTTGTGCTGTCTGCCTGCCCGCCCGTATGTGGCAGCAGCCGTGCATGTGCGCGCTCTACCTCTAGGTCGCCTAACATGTGGGGCAGAAATGATCGATCGATCGATTTCTTGGTGGTACATCGCTAGCTTTGATCATCTGTATCGGTCGCTTTTGGCTTGTTATGATTGGGGTCGTCAGAAATCGGATCGCACCGACCGATGCCCTCCAGTGTAACGCTTGACCATGCCATGCCTTTGGAATATTTGGGGAGAAATTGACCCAATTTTTGGCAAATTGATTGATCCAATAGCATTTTCGTCGCAGTAGTATATATACTCCTACTACACCAACGAGCGAGCTGTCTTTACTTTCTTTTTGAAGGCAAAAACGATGTTGACGAATAAATATAGTACAGACGAAATGTAGGTCCTTCACCCCGCAAAAAAAGAAAAAGAAATGTAGGTCCTTCGCCCCGCAAAAAAAGAAAGGGAAATGTAGGTCCTTGGCCGCCTCCTGTTCAGGAATAATCCGATCCTGACAGTTGAACAAACACCATCTCATCCGATACCGTTTGAACATTGTTTCGGTTAGACGACATGACAGATGAGAGAGAAAACGAAACATGGAAAACTGTGGCGTGCATGAATCATGAGGCAGAAATCACATATTTGACCTGAGAGCGAAATCAAATCACAAACTGACCTGCTCTTGAAAAAATTTCACTCTGTTGATCCTTTAGTGTGGCGCCCGACAGCGCGGCGCCGCACCCAACGCTGCAGCGCCCTTCCCTTAGGTGTCGCACATCCAGTCAGCGTGGCAGCCCTGGGCCTCCTGCGCCCCCACAGACAGCAGTGCAGC